GCACGGAGGGGAGCGCAGAGCCGGGGCGGCGGAACCTCGCCAGCACTGATGAGTGGTGTTCCTCAGCTAGCCCGGCGGCGCCCGAACTTTGCAGCCTCCCGCCTCGGGGACTGGCGTGGGCGGGTCGGGAATCAGTACGCTGAACCAGACTTGGGTGCCTGGAGCCCATTAGTTAGGGTTCGCCCTCACCTGGAGTGTGTGGGGAAGAGACCGGTACCCCTTTCCAGTTGAGGGATCTGAGGGGCTGAGCACCTGGCCCCGGTCGCCAGTGTTTTCAGGGGTGGCGGTAAATTCCAACAAGGTCTCAGTTCTTTCCCTTGAGGAATACACAGCTCACCACTGATTTTTGGGAATTGCTTTTTCTTTCCTTTCTCCCCAGAAGGGCGGATAACCAGGACTCCGCCCCGTCGGGGTGGACTTTGATACCTGCGCGCCTGGAAATAGTAAGGAGGAAGCGAAAGGAAAAGGAGATTCCAGAAGATCACTGTGGACCTGGATACCTAAGAGTCTGTAAAAGCCAGTTGTTTGCAAAAGAGCTCACAAGCCAACTATTTATATTTAGTTCTTTGTAAGTAAACATTTCCCTGCCAACCGCCTGAAGTTCTCGGGTTAAAAGGTGGAATATACTTACCTTATCTGTTGACAGAAGTGAGGAAAGTAGGGAAAGTGCGGGCCTTATTATGAAAATGAGATAACTGGTGAAGTCCAGAGTCCGACAGGCTTCCCATGCAAGTCCTCACGTAGGACCTGTCTCCTAACTACTGCTCAGGAAGCGCTTTCTTCCTGGGAGACTTCAGCAATTATAAAGTGCCACAGAGGGGCCAAATCTCCATTTTCTTTTGAGCTAAGTACTCCATAGAAAGCCTCATTTGCACCAGGCAAGGTTTCTTGACATTATCAAAACTCCAGCAATTCTTCTTGCTCTTCCTGTTGCATTTATAATAGAAATTTTATTTATGTAGCACTTTCCTGACTCCATCTTAGATGTGTAATCTCCGTGACTGCTGGAGAAGGGATGTGTTTTTCTCTCTTCCTAGGGGTGTTCACGTCTCCTTTATTTTTTTGTCTTTATTAGCTATCTTAAATTCTAAAATTCTTAAATTATAACCTTAGGTTATAAATCAACAAAAATTCTTACAGGAGTTATGATGGATGTGTCTGAAAGTCAACCATCGCCTTGACATAAAGTTACTTTTCTCGGTAGATTTTATTGACTAATTGGGACTGTGTGCCTTTTTGCAAAAATATCTTAGTTTCTTGATTATCCTTTAGTTATTTGTTGTTTAAAAAATTGATTGATCGCTACTTGATACGATGGTTACCAAGTACAGTACAATCTCTGGATTTAGTGTTCTCCGAAGGAAATAAAGTTAAGAGCAATAAGCCAGCAGTGATTTAATACCAACTCTAGGAAGTGAACAAAAATCATTACTCTCCCAGTGGCATAAGTTGGATGCTGGTTTTATGAATCTTAATGTATGGCGGAAAGTAAAAGACATCTGAATAAAAATGGTAAATTCTACTTTTTCTATTTGTTTGTTAATCACCGGTGTCTAGCCAAATACCTAATGTGTTTGCTACATCTGTGCCATAACTCCTTGAGTTAAAAGTTTCTCCAATATTGTATAGTTTTAATTGAAATTTTAATAAGTTGGGCTGGGGATGTAGCTCAGTGGTACAAGCGCCTGCCTGCCAAGTGCAAGGTCCCGAGTTCGATTCTGGTACCCCCCCCAACAAAAAAGAAATTTTAATAAGTTAAATAATAAGTAGTAGGTAAATGGAACATATCTCAGCTGTACTAGTAGAGAAGAAATTATTTATTTAACTCCCCTCACCGACATTCAGGAAATGGAATTAAGAATTAAGATCTGTTCACTGCCAAACCATTGGGGTATATATACCCAGACATTTCCACTTCGGCTGGAATTACTCCAAAGTGCCCCACTCCCATCTTTATTTCCTACATTTTTAGTAAGAGAACAGATAAAACTGCTTTTCCTGCTTTTACGCCTTTGGTACGCCCACCCCTTCTACTCAGCATGCACTCTGCTTAGGAAAGCAGCAGTTCCAGAGTGGAAATTCTCTCCTCCGTGCTCTCTTCTCTCTCCCTTCTCTTCTTGGCCCTTTTTCCTTATCCACGAAGCCAGTCCCCATTGAGCACTTATATGCCGGCTGCTATTCTAAGCACTTTACTTGTAAGTGCTCATTTAATGATCTCCGCAGCTCTTGAAGAGATGGTATTGTCATCCCTCAGTAAGAAAGCATGTGAAGAACTCACACAAGACAGATGCTACAGGATGACAGCATAAGGGAGGGAAAAGTCCAGCCCACTCTTCCCCAAGATGAAGGTCTGCGGTGGGCTGTCTCGACAAAGCCAATGGTGCTGAGCTTGGAATAGCCTGTATCCAAATGCAGCCATACCATGGAAGCTATAGCATTTTCAATAAATTCAGTAACTTATGTAGACCTTGGCCTCCATCTTTAAACTGGGAATAGTGATACCTATGAGAATTTAATGTGATTACATATCTGGAGCATCTAGAATGTGGTGACCCCTCATTGCACCTAGTCTCTTTTCTAACTACTCATCAAGGCTGGGTTTAAATTCCATCTCTTTCCTAAACCTTTCTATGGTGCTAATTCTCAGAATTACTTACACACAGAATTTAATCTTTCCATTTTTTCTAAAAAAAATCCAGTTTAGTTTTGCCAAATATAAAATATTAAACATGTAGATGTGCTAGACCTGGTGGCGCATACCTGTAATTCCAGTACTCAGGAGACTGAGGCAGGAGGATCAATGTGAGTTCGAGACCAGACTAGGCTATACAAGGAGTTCAAGGCCAACCTGAACTGTGTAGTGAGACCCTGTCTCAAAAAAAAAAAAAAAAAAAAAAGTGTAGGTGCAGTAGACAAACATCTATGTAAAAATATTTAACTCATCAATTGAGATAAATAAGATTAAACATTAATGTGGATCTACTGCCTTTTCCACTCAGGCTTTAGGAAATAATTTTATCCCAATTTGAATATTTGAACATGCAACTATGGCAGCAGTGACTTCATCAGCAGGGTTATACTTCGAATTATTACATGCTGTCTTTGCTCATGACAAAGTCCCCACTCCCACTCCATCTCATCACACCTTCCCCTTGCTTGTTGCTTGCTGGCAATCAAGTTTTTGTCTCAAGTTATGCAGGTTATGCTTTCTGGGGACTTTGGCTAAGATGATTTTTTTTTTCTTTTTTACATCTTCTGGTGTTCATTTACTCATTAACTCATTCTCTATTTTAGAAGCAAGTTGTTTTCTATTTGTGTACCAGATAGGGAGATGCAAGCTGAGACTTGCGTGGTTACAAGGCAAGAGTGTCAAAAATATTGACCAACCTACAAACTTATCCCATCTATGGCATGTGTAAAAGTGCATTTCACTGCTGTGATCATTTGGTTTCTGTCTTTATCCCTACCGTAAGATTAATGGATGTCATACAGCAAATCGAGGCCTTGACCAACTAAGCCTTAAATGATGCCTCGACTGGTCTCTCTCCTAAATGAAGAAAAGCTAATATGGCAAATCATCCTCCAACTGTCTTTGGATGGTATTAAACATTCTAACAATGCAGGGGGATATTTGTAAAATTGTCAAAGCTAAATGTTGTGTATACATTCCTGATCCTTCTGCTAATAGCTCTAAGGCTATTCAAGATATTAAATGACAGGTTAAAGCCATGTCAGATTCTAAAATTCCCTAACCCTTCTTCTTATCCTCTTTGTGGGAGGCTATTACTGGCTCTTCCTGATGGAAATATTTGTTGTATTCATAATAGTCTTGTGGATCTTATTTGGCCCATGCATAATGAACTGTTTCTTTGGTCTTGTCTCCTCCAAACTTAAACCTATACACCTACCCAAGATAAAAATGCCTGGCATCTCTCTAGGAGCTTTAGATAGGCCCTCTGTGGAGTGTCTCTGACTGTTGATCACAACTATAATCCCTTTCAGCCAGAAGTAGCCAGAATGGTTATCATCCCTTGCCCCCTCACAGCAGTTAGGAGTACCTCTTTGGGCGGGAGTGGTTATTACAGACAGCTAAGTTAGGTAGAAATATTACAGGCAATCAGAAAGGTGTAGGCCCTCAAGGGTGAGTACATGAGGAAGAGAGGATGAGAATACATAACAACCATGGCTGAAGTCACATCCATTAAAGTTCAGGCCTCAAAATAAAGAGAGAATGACCTGCATGCTTCCCCAAGGAATAAGCAGCATGCTATAATCAGTATTGCCTGGCCCAGTGAAGTCTAGATAGACATCAGTCACACAGGTGGGTGACCAGGACCTCCTGACTCATCTCTTCCCAAAAAGGTCCTTGTACTTTCCATGTACACTTACTATGTGACTTGCTTCCTCATTAGATCAACATTATCTGAGTGTCTATACTTAGAATCTTATTAGTCATCATAGTTTTGTACCCACCTTGTGATTTGGCTCTATAAAACTTCCTCGAAAATGTGAGCTTCTTGACAACTCACTGGACCCCCTCCTCTCTCTCTCTCAAGAGCTATCTCTCCCCATAAAAATTCCTACTTCTACGCACTTCTTTACATGTTCTAGATATAAGTCCTTTGTCTAAAAGACAGTTTGCTAAAATTTTTTCCCACTCTGGGAGGTTGTCTTTTCACTCTGTTGGTGATTTCTTTTGATGTGTAAAAGCTTTTTTAAAAAATGAGATCCCAGTTGTTGATTCTTTGAGATGTTTTCCAGGCAGTTTGAGTTTTGTTTATGAAGTTTCTGCCTACCCCTATCTCTTATGTTTCTGTTTTTCATGGCAGCTCCGTGCTGTTTTGATTACTGTAGTTTAATAGTATTTTTTGAAGTCAGAGAGGGTAATGCATCCTGTGTGTTCTTTTTGCTTTCACTTCGTTTTGAATTTTCTTTGCCTTTTTTTCATTCAGTATTATTTTCACTGTTTTACTTTTGGACACATCTAATTCTCTAAACTCTTTTCTGATTCTGTGACTGAGGATTATATTACAAACCACTTCCTTTATATTAAAAGTATTAAATTTTCTCATTTATCCTAAATATGCACAATAATTACTTCTTCCAGTTATTATTTTTCAGTAGTCTTAAGTATTTTTTCAGTAACATTCAATTTATGACATATCCATATAAATACTTAATGTGTTTTAAATATCTTTGTCTCCTTGTTTTTTAAACCAATTCTGTCAGGTGACTTCTTCTCAAACTCAATTTGGTTAAAGATATATCCAGCCACACCTGCATTCTAGCAGTTTAGTAGTTATCAGTTCAGATTAATGTATAATAATCGAAGGTAATCTAGATCTTGTGACATATATACTACACAGGCACGGTGACTCAACTGTTAACATTTTTTTGATTCTCTCCCCAGAGCTGGGAATGAGGTGCTATCATCATTATCTGCTTTTCAGTCAAAGAAGAAACCAAAAGGTTATCTCCTCTAAGAATTTATGTCCAGTAAAGAAAGGAGGTAGGACTCAAACCCAGATGAGTAGGTTCAAAGCCTGTGTCTTTGTTATTGAGCTATGAGAGTATAGAGAGAGCTTTAAAAGTTTTGACTATAACCACTTCTTTTCTGAAGCCAGATTTTTGGGGGAAGATGATGTACCTGATATTCAGGTGTAGCCAATACTATTTCCTGGATTTTTCTGTTGCCCTTGTTTTTACTGATGTCAGAGTACCCTTAATATTTGACTTCCCATCTTGACTGTGAAGATCTTTAATTACTATTTGTGTTGCTGAAATACCCATCACAGAACCGTGGGTAAACATTTTATGAAGATGAAATACTTATATTCATTAAGCTATCTCACTTTGTACTTTGTAAGAAGTTAGAAGAGTTGCTTTGAAAGTTTTATCAACTCTTTTTTATCACAAAGGTTAATGATTTTTCCAGGTTACCATAAACATAAGAGCAGCATAGAATATTCAGTCAGTTCAGTTACTGACTATCAGGTGATGGCATTATGGGAAAGATATTTTGAAATATAATTTTACAGCCTAGATATCCATCAACAGATGAATGGATAAAAAATGTGGTATGTACAGAATGGGAGGATTAGTCAGCCAAAAAGAATAACAAAATCATGTCATTTGCAGGAAAAAGATGCAACTGGAGACCATCATGTTATTCAAAATAAACCAGTCTCAGAAAGTAAAAGACTGCATGTTTTCTCTTATATGCGCCATCTAAAAACAAATCTATCCATCTATACATTCACCCATCCATTCATCCATCCATCCATCCATCCATCCATCCATCCATAAGAGAGAGATGTCAGGAAACTAGAAGGTACAATTTTAGTCATGGAAAAGGATATTAGAGGAGGGAAGAAGAAAGAAAGAAAGGGTAATAGGGAAGGAAATTAACTAAATACATGCATATACTGATATACCGGAACAATTCTCATTATTCCATATTATTAATATGCACCATATTATTAACATAAATAGATGAAATATATCTTTAAAAATCGTTAGGTAATTGCAAGATGCAGGTAAGTATACATTTTTCAACAAAATTAATATTTCAGAAACTCATTTAGGCACTCGAGGTGAACATATGTCGTTGATTCTAACATGCCTGTTTTTTTCCTTTTTTTACAGTACTGGGGATTGAGCACAATGCCCTTGACCTGAGCTATATCCCCTGCCCTTTTCAATTTTATTTCAAGACAGGGTCTCATTAAACTGCAAAGTTGCTCAGGCTGGACTCAAACTTGCTATCCTCCTGCCTTAGAGTCCGAGAGTTCTGAGATTACAGGGGTGTGCCACCATACACAGATACACACCTAAATTTATATTCTACTACTTCTGAAATGGGGATTTGTATTAAAATTAATTGCTGTTAGCTAGGTTCAGTCATGTTGTAAATATCTCTGCCTAGATGCCTCATGAATTTGATCAGGGATGTTTAATCGTGTCATCATTTCCTTTCAGTTATTTACATTGAAACAGAGAGAGACAGAGACAGGGACACAGAGAAAGACAGAGAGACAGAGACAAAGAGAGCTTGTCAATTAAAATGTATTTGAAAGGATTATACTAGTTTTCTGCAGAAGGCAAGGAAGCAGAGCCTTGTGGTATTTGATAAATCTGAAAATTCATTTTGTTTATATATAATAAAATTTAAAATGAATATTAAGTACTATGTCATAGTTTAGGACCCAGTCATTTTTTAATTCAGAGGTATGAAGTTATTCATATAGAAACCATAAAACATCACACTTTTAAGTTGTTAATATCCTCTAATTTCTGCTGTTGCTAACATGAAAATCTAAATTTATTGTCGTATGGAAAGAAGCCCTTAAAGAAAAATCAATGCTAAGAGAAAGTCCAAAAAATCTAACTATTTGATGAATTTGTGAATGACATGCATTCACTGAATGTAAAATCATTGCTTCCACATATGTGTGTCATTTACTCTCATGTATCTCTGTAGCTGAGTTTAATAAACACACAAAAATAATCTCTTTGTGCTGTAACTTGAAAATCCTTTGTGGCTCTATTTTTTTTTTCCGTTCCCTCAAAAAGCTGCACATAATCAACTTTGAAATCTTTTCTGAAATCAGGAAGAAAGTAAGAGGGTCTTAGACAAGCAAAAGATAGGAAATAGATATACAAAAGCAAAGCTAGAAATACATTCCTTATAAACCAATGACATAAAACTGTTAAAAATGCATTTGAAAAACACTATTATCAGTGTAAACAGTAAGTGAAATATAAAAACAGTTGGTGAAACCTCGTGTGCTATGACAATTCATGAGAACAGAGGCCACAAACTGGCTGCCCATGGGTACAATGAGGGCAGGAAGGCCATGGCATGTTTCAGACCACATAGACTGCAGCAACTGTTACTTAGTCTCTACAACTTTGATGTTAGATGAAAAGATTCAGTTTTTAGATTCTCTTTAAAAGTCAGAAGGTCTGAGCTACACGTGGTATTACACATCTGTATTCTCAACACCTGGGAGGCTGAGACAGGACGATGGTGAGCTGGGGGCCAGCCTGGGCTACATAGTGAAACCATTTCTCAAAAACAAATATAAAAATTAGGAAAGTATCAGGAGATCTGATAGTACTGAACCCACATTCACACAAAACAAGTCTAAATGGACTGGAAAATTGACTGGCCTTTTTTGGACAGAACATACACTCTTTAGTTTGCTATAGTCTCTGCATGATCCATTTCCTCTTGAGTTAGGACTCAGGAGTAGTACAGGTTGCAACTCGGGAATGTTGCTTGAAATTATGGTCAGTAAAAGACAGCCCTGCCTCTAGACAAGCTTACTGACTTCTGAAACAGAAGTTTTAGAAATAGACAACCCAGACAATAATTTAACACCCACAATATTAAAACTGTTTTACCAGCAGAAATGGCAACAGTAGAATCATCATAATAGCTACTCAAGCAGCTATTGAGTTCTTAAAATAATTTGAATAACAAATTAAATACTTTACAGATGTTATTCACTCAACTGATTTTTATAGATATTTTAAGATATGAAGAGCCAGACACAGAGGTAAACAAAGTGGATCTGATTTATTATTTTCTTGGAGCTTACAGTACAATAACAGAGGTAGCTGCTACCCAAATAATCACATTAATTTTTGGTTATAAGTGTGTGACATATATTATGTATACACATCCACACATATACTCTGTGTATACTGTAATATTTAAAAATATATAACGTATATTCCATAGTATATGTATACACATTTTTATACTTTTATTTACATGTTTACAACATATGTATGCATAATTATGTTTAAAACAGTGTAAGTCTGCTGATATTTATCACTATTTAACATCAAAACTTCTTGATTATGGCTTAAATTAATACATTAGGGGAGATGAAGAAATACTTCTCCCCAGTCTTCTGTTCAGATGCAGGGAGTTTCCAGCCCTCCTGGTCTTTCTTTGCCCTGCCACAGCCCAGGTCACGTGTTGTACCCTGTGATCGTGAAGTAACTTATTTATTCAGTACATTTGGAAGGAGGCCCCGGCCACTGGAGTCCTGCTTCTACCTCCCCATTTTCCCTTTCCGTGGGCTGCCATCCAGAATTCTGTGCTGCTCTTCCAAGCTATAAGACCTATGAGAAATCAAAATGTATCCATGGCTTCCAGAACGTAACATGTTGTCTAAAGGAATACAAGTAACGCTGAAATCCTCATCCGTCTGATTCCTATCTTTCCATTGATTTGAATCCAAGCACCACAGCATTTGTGTTACCAGAAACAAACAATATTCTATACTAGAGAAAAGTAAGGAAAAGTAATGATTTTTGATTGGTGAATCAGAAAAGCCTTTTTTTAAAAAGTGACATTTAAACTGAGAAGTAAAGCCTGGCTGGGAGTGGGCTGTGTGTGCCGGGCGTGCATGGGGGAGGGCAGGGATTTGTTCCAGGCGAAGAAGAGCATTTGTAAAACCTCAGAAGCAGCAGAAAGCAGGATCCCTGGAGGAACTGAAAGAAGGTCTTTCAGCTACATAGTGAATAAAGTAGAGCAGAACAAGTTGAAACTAGAGAGGTTGCTGCAACATACAGGGTCTTACAGGCCATGCCTAGGGTTTGAGATAGTTATCAGAGGGGCAATGGTAAGTTATTAAGGGAATTTAAGAGGGAAGTAAATAATTAATTTTAATTCCTTATTTTATATAATCTTCAAAATCCTTGAGAGAAAGTATTTTTATGCTCACAGTTAAGCTGAATAAACATAGATGCAGAGATACTAAACTGTAAATGTATTAGTTGCTAACATAAATGATTCCAGGATCCATCCAGTGAACCAGAACCCTACTGTCTCATGCATGGAAAATTTATGGCATGTTGCATTTACAGACTATTACATACGGGTAATATATATGAGCAATGTACAGGTTATTTTGAGGTGCTAACTACACCGCCATATATTTGTAACTTAGTACCTCTGTGGACAATACAGTGAATTCAGCCTCTCACTTTCTACAGTAAAATTCTAATAAGCTAGGGAATTTGTTTTGTAAATGTGAATTGCCTCTTTTGTGTTGTAGAAACAAATTTAATAATTGACCCCAAACCAAGTCATTAAAAATATATCAGAGGAATGGAAAGAGAGAGTAAGAATGTCTAACCACTTTATGTAAATTTTTGGTAGATCTAAGAGTGAAGATGCTAACCATGTCACCTTCTTTGTGTGTGCCCAAGAGCACCAGAAATTAACACAATGTGAGTTTATTCCTGTAAAGCTTGTAGGTAGGTTATGAGTACCTTGTGTGTCAGCCACGTCAATTGCTCATACTTTAGAAAACAAAGGTTCATGTATTTTGTTTCTCTGCCTGAAACAGTTTCTTTAAAACACATTTTTAGAGAAGATTCCTATCTGGCATTTGCTTATTTCTCTGTGTGTGAAACATGACGTGCTCTCTCAGTTCTCCTGAGCAGCAGGTGTAGACTTTCAAAGACCTCACTCACAAGCCTGCATTTCCTTCACTCCACATGGCTTCCGTAGCATCCTGCGTCATGGTTCTGTATTTTTTCCTGTGGAAACTCTTGTACCTACACTACTGCCACTTCAATCTGGTTTAGCAATCAAAAAACATGGTGCCTGTCCAGTAGAGCTTGCAAGTGCTTTAAGGAAACTGTGGTAGTCATGCCTGATTGAATTCTTCTTTCTTTCACTCATAAAGGAACTACTGCTCCTGCATTCATCCAGCCGTGAATGCTTGGCTTTTTCCTTACAGTTTCTAGGGCACTAAAAGAGGAGATTTTTTGTTTTTCATTCATCTCTAGAAAGAACAAGAAAATAAAACAGCACTGGCATCTGTCCCTTGTCTTTATGCTCTCGGATACCCAACTTTTACCGAACCAATACATTTTGTTTTTGAAAGTTACCAGTTTCCTTTAGTACAGCGTCTCTACAAAGTGAAAGTACACTTCCCAGTAAAAAGCAGAACATTTGAACAACCATCAAATGAGTAAATATTTTAATGAAATAGCCGAACTCAACAGAGGGCAACTAAATATGCATAAAAAAAACTTTTGTCTTTCTTCCATTTTCACTTTCAAGCTGTGCTTTTGAGTTTTTCTCCTGGCCCTGAATGGAATATAGGGTGTGACTCCTAAATTTTCTGATCTGTATCAATGGCAAGAACAATGTGATTTGTGTGATAGAAAGGC